TGCGAGACATTACGTCACAAGAGGGAAATATAAAAAGTCACAAAGTCGCAGTTGTGACAAAAGTGCAGTTGTCATATAGTTAAAACTGTGAGATATAAAAAGGCGCACTTGTAACAAATAAAGTCACAATTGTCCCATTTAACGTCAACATTGAGAAATATTGAAATGCAATAGTAAAAAAGTCGCAATTGTGACAGAGTCAAAATTGTAAGATATAAAGTCCCAATTACAAAAAATTAAATCATAAATATTTAAGAATATGTAAGATAAACTTGCAATTGACAAAACTTGCAAAATTTGCAATTACAAGTGTAAGTGAATCACAATTCTGACAAGTAAAAACTTAAATTACGAAACATTAAGTCTCAATACTGAATATATAAAAAAGGTCTCAATTGTGATATTAAGTTGCAGTCACATATAGTTAAAACTTAAATATTAAATTGAAATAGTAAAATATAAATTTGCAATTGTGAAGGAGTCAAAACTTCCAGATATAAAGTCCCAAGTGCAAGAAATTAAGTCACCACTATTTCATTTTTTTAAATCAGAGCTGGAAACAGGCTCAGCCAAGAAAGCGTCACATTTGGGGCCCACTAAAATAGAAATATTTAGGCTAACCATGACAGGTATTGGTAAGTTTGTAGTTGTTTTGATGAGAAAAACTAGTGTACTTTTTGTATTTGGAAAGGTGTTTTGATTTGTTGTTTTTTTACTGGTAGCATTAGAAATTGTTCAGACTCCTCTATCAATAGTCCAATGTTCATGGACATGCAATGGATTCCAGATTAAATGTTTTCTATGGATCACATACATTTTTGAGTCTGTCTTCTACTAAACTGTGGTACTTTACCGGAGTGGAACTGAGCCAGAGAGCTTTGGGGAGTTTAGCACGTCCTCATGAAAGCAAATTTAAAAATAACCAGAGACCTAACAGATACAACACAGAGTTAAGATGAGGCTCAATCCGCCGGGCGGAAACTACTGGAACAATGGCGTGACATATTTTCCTGCGCTAGCTTGCTGTGTGTTTGTCTGTATGGGTTTGCGTGTGCGAGCGCTGGGCGGGGGGCTCTCTGACAGGTGGGTGGGTCACATCTGTTTCCTGCTCTCCAGGAGATATCTTCCAGAACATTCTACCCATGAGTGCTATATGCTGACCTCTCACAAATTCAACACCGCAATGTCTATTCCAGCCCTCATACACTTCCTCTGTGGTTCTCCGCTCACTACTGCTTAGAACAGGTGATGCTTAAAAACAAACGGAAAATCTTTTCTCAACAACATCCTTCTGAAAAGCCACCCGGTCTGACAGGTAGAGCTCCAACATGTAACACCAAAACACAAAGCTTCTGCTTACTGTTTGCTGCAGGCACATTCATTCATTCAAGAAACACACCTTTTGTAAAATTTTTGTACAATTATGGACGGATGTAAAGGATTAGCTCACTCATTGTTGTCATTTGCTCACTTACGTGTTCCAAACCTGTATGACTTTCTTTTTGCATATGATGACCAGGTGCTGTCAACCTCCAAAAAACACCATAAAACCACCAGTTTTAACATAAACTAATAAACTTAATGTGATGTATATTTGTCAGTCATGCATAAATGAAACGGGTAGGAAACAAGCAAGATTTCAATATAACTGGATGTGTTTTAATTACAAAATAACCAGGTTTATATATTTAGCATCGATCAATCTAAATTCTTTTAATCTCATACAAATGAACTAATATTGCTTGTTCCACAGCTAGCAATATTTTAACCATACTTCGTACTTTTTAACGGAATACATTTAATTTTCACAATGAACAGATTTATGCTGATTCTAAGCAATTTGAATAAATGCATTTTAAAAATATGATTTTTTAAATTAAATCAAATAGATGCAAATACTCAATAAAAAAACAACAACTATGCAATGATTTTTTGAGTGTAGAAATCTAACGTTTCTTACCTGTTTCATTTATATATGACTGACGCATCAATAAGTCTATCAGTTTGTTTATGTTAAATCTGTGTAATCCAAATGGATTGAAATTTGATATGCAATTTAAATAAATCTTAAATTTAGGCCTAAACATTTTTGGACTGTTCTTTTTTTATTATTATTTTGTTTAGATAAAATAGTATAATAATAGTATGTTTTGAGTGTAAAATTAATCATTTTAAAAATTAAGTTTAGGCATCACAACATAATAATGTACAGTATGGAAAATGTTATATATAATAATTTGGTATAATATTGGTTATCATCAATATTAGAGAGTATTAAAGAAATCAATATATTTATATCAATATTACAGAGTTTTAAAGTAATCAATATATATATATATATATTTTTTTTTTTTTACAGCCCACACTGGCCCAGCTAACCAATCACAGCCCACACTGGCCCAGCTAACCAATCACAACACACACTGGCCCAGCTAACCAATCACAGCACATTTCGTATTTCAGAAGGCGGGCTTTCATTTGATACAGGAACTATTCGAGCCGTTCATGCCAGACTGGGGAGAGAGGTGTTGTAATAATGTAAAATATGTGAAAAATAACGTGTTTTTCGAATAACCTATGAGAACCTGTTCTAGTACACCCCCAAAACAAAATCCAGACTTTGTAAAAGAGCATAATAGGACCCCTTTAAGACACATTTGATGCTTATACATATTGTATAAGCTTCCTTACTAAAAGTACCATTTCACATACAAACCAATTACATAGAAAAATGGCGATAGAACAGAAAGTCAGTGTCATCAACATCAGTGTCTCTTTAGGGTGCAGTCTCCTATTATAAGGTCCTGTGTCAGTCTCCTATCTTGACAGAATAGACTCTGAATACACACAGTGGACACTGTTTGTTCCAACTGACCCTCCCTATTCATATCCACCACAATGTCGGGACAGAGCGACAGCTAACACGGCTTCTGCGATAAGAATCGGCACTCTCTACAACTTTGTACACAAACACACACACGGATTTACACAGGCAGAACGTTCACTATGTGTTTTTAAGGTGCACTTTGTGGTCATTAATACTGTCCGAGAGAAGAAAAAAGAAAGAGCGCGGGGGGAGTCGAGGAGAAATCTTGGGAAGGAAGCGAGAGAAAACAGCTGATCGGAATGCCTGGGAAATCTCTGCTTTCCTGTTCACGGCAGTCTCCACCTATAACAGAGCTCACGCTGGGGAGAAACCTCTCCTCCGATGTTAGATAAGAGCATACGTGTCAGAATGTTAAGCTACTTACTTGTGATCAAACAGTTCTTAAAATGATAACAGCTTTATGTGGCCTGAGTAACAGTAAAATATGTCATTTTAGAGGCATGTGACTTAATAAAGCTCTTCAGAGAAACTGATGTGCTTGGCTTTGACCACTATGGGAATGCTGGGAATAGCATACTACCATACTACTCTTACTATTTCTGTAGCAGTGTTTCCTGCATCGCTGGCTACAAGCACAGCACAACCACTTTAGTCCACTTCGCAAACAAATGACTCTTAAGAGCGATTCTTTTAATGAATCAAAAAATCTGACTAATGATTCAAAACTGACACATTACTGGTCTGAATCAGTGTGACGAGTCCTTTACTTAATGATCAGATCAGATCCAGCATTCTGTATGAGGACACTGTTGTGTAGTACATATGAACAGTGTGCAGTTTTATTTATGGATATATAGATTTGTCAAAATATGCAGTAATATGCAATAGAACATAATATGCTGGGTAATGTTTCCAACAATGCAATGCACTCAACGCGATTAATGAAACTGAAGTAATATCAACTTTTTGATTCCTTTGGTCTGCCAAGCCATTTTTACACAAAACTGCATTAAAAATGCTACATTTTAAAGCTGATAATGGAATACTTTCAAAATAATAAGAGGAACAGAAACATTTTTAAGCATTTCAATTAGTAGTATGCTTCATTGCAGTCACATGACCTTGTCATATTGCTTGTGAGTGGATTATCTTGATTATTTTGCCATTTTGAATTTAATTTTGAGTAAAATGTATTTTGCATTTCACGGTGGAATCAAATAATGAGTAAAGAAAGAGTTGCCACACTAGAAATGTAAGTTCAAGTTGAGTGTATTGCATTGTGTATATGCATTGCATATAGTATAGTGTAAAATTAATCATTTTAAAAAATAAGTTTAGGCATCACAAAATAATAATGTAAAGTATGAAAAATGTTAGATATAATATATTGGTATAATATTGGTTATCATTAATATTAGAGAGTTTTAAAGTAATCAATATTTATATAAAAATATATTTTTTCAATTTTTGGGGGGTGAACTATCCCTTTAAGACAAATTTGATGTTGCCACACTGGAAATGTAAGTTCAAGTTGAGTGCATTGCATTGTGCCAATATATTTTTTTTTTTTGCACAAAATTGCATTAAAATGCAAAACTTTTAAGCCAATAAATAATGTATTAAAATACATTAATATATTAAATGAAACTTCTACAACAAATTAGTAGTATGCTACACTGTAGTCACATGATCTCATCATATTTCATGTTAGCGGTATCCAGTAATCTTGAACTATTTTGATTATAGGCTGTTGCTATAAAATATCTTAACATTTAGCAGTGCAATAAAATAATGAGTAAAGAAAGAGTTGCCACACTGGACATTGCATTGTGGGATACAGTATTCTATACAGTGTTGTACACTGCATAATTTTGGAATTTTAGGCCAAATCTATAGTAGATCTTAATATTTCATGAATATAGAAAATCTACATACTGCTCACAGCATACATACTAAATATAGCAGGAACAGTAAGAATAGCATGGCAGTGTGCTAGACATAACCTATGCTAAATACTTTAAAAAGGAGGGCAAAGGTCAGCACCTATATATAATTCCTGATGGAGATAAATATGATTGGACAAGGTTTCTCCGGGAAATCTGATTGGATGTGTGGAAGCAAAATCCTATCTGATTGGACGGGAGTGAGCTTTTGGGGCAGCTGAAGCACTGACCAATACGCAGAGGAGATCCACAGCCTCCAGAATCAGCTCCTGATGGCCGACACGGGTCACCGTCAGCTCCACCAGATCCTGATGGGAAATCTTCAGAAGCTGCTCTCCATTGATCTTCTCTCTCTCGAAGTTAGGAACATACTGCTGGAGACTGTCGTCCAGCCCTGAGAGACAGACAGAAAGTGAGAATGAGAGACAGAACACAAAGAAACTCTTTCAGGGAGAGTGTGGATCCACATGGGTTTTGACACCACAAGCGTCTGTGCAAACGTTAAGATGTTGAGTCAATATAAGACATTTGCACTAGCCTGAAGAGTCCCACTCTCCTCAGTATTTCTCACGTCAAATGCCAGTTACCTGATCTGAGAACAGATCATTGCTATATAAGGGTAATCAAATAAAGCAAGATCTATGAGATCACATCACTGTCCTGTGTTTTACGTGACTGGACTCCATGTGTGTGAGAAAATGCAGTCATGCTGTCATTAATTAAAGGGGTGTTCAGTGGTTTGTTTCTAGGCTTGATTGTGTTTATGGGGTGCAGTCTAACATGTGTTAATGCTTAGTTTTTTTAAAAACGTATTATTTTTCACATAATTTATCTTTATTCCACACAGCTCTGTCCCTTCTATGAGAAACGCGATGATCATTTCCTGCTTTTATGAAGCCCCGCCTTCAGAAATAGGTGATGGGCTCTGATTGGTTAGCTAGCCCAGTGTGTTGTGATTGGCTAAACCGCCTCTAGTGCGCGTCTAAACATCCCGTCCCTCACCTCAGCGGCATGTGCTCTGGTTGTATTGTAAACAAAGGCGTCGTTAATATCGCTTATCAGTTTGAGCCCGATTGAGCAGAGAGAGAGAGAGAGAGAGAGATGCAGAGCAGGGGACGCGAGACACATAATTAAGAACCGCTGCTTTAGAACATTGATTTTGAAACTTGTGAATTAGAATCGTTAGAAGACAGAATCTCGCGATTCATATATGAAGCGGCTCGTCTGCCGCTTTAAATTCTCCAGCTGTCAATGTTTGTATTGTTCATCAGCTGGAAAAAAATCATTCTGAAAGTGATTGCAACGATATCGTTTCTCTGTGCCTTTATCGTTATAGTTGTGGTGTGGACTCTGCTATTCTTTATTATTGAGAACGATTTTTAGAACGATATCTTTATCGTTATCTTTATAGTTATCGTGCTTGGTATGAACAGGGCTTAAGTCTTTGTTAGGCAACTTTGCCTGTTTTTATTGTGTGATTTCAAAATACAGTTAGCAAATGATGTCAAAATAACCCTTTCATGTGATCTCATGTTTTGCTGAAATGTAAAAATTAATTTTAGGAATTACCAACTTAATTTATTCCAGCATATAAGAGGGTTGGCATAAATGGGTGAATACCATATTGCACCCCAAAGTCAGAAGACAGTAATAATAAATTATATTTAATATACATAAAAAATAGAAATTAAATAAATAAGCAAACAAACAAATAAATAAATATTTTTGTATGGTTTCCCTAAATTTACACTTTATAACTGTAATGCAAAAAAAAAAAAGATTTAAATAGTATACATCATAATTATATATAGGCATATTGAATCACATTTATTAGAATCATCATTTAAAATAATTAGAATTACAAAAAAAGTCCAAAAGCAAAATGTACAAAGTAATACAAAATAAGCCCAATTAATCATTCCCATTTATCAGTGTGTAAATTTACAGTAATAAGAAATCGTATTACCAACCGAGCAATTCACGCTAATCCAATCAATTAATCATCATATCATGTAATTAATTTTTTTATTAATTATTTTTTTTAATTAATTTTAATTAATTAAAAGTTTTAAAGGGGTCATATGATGCGATTTCAAGTTTTCCTTTCTCTTTGGAGTGTTACAAGCTCTTGGTGCATAAAGAAGATCTGTAAAGTTGCAAAGACTAAAGTCTCAAATATTTAAAATAGCATCATATGACCCCTTTAATTGATTGACAGCTCTAGTCACAATCCAAAAAAAAACCGTAATGATTCTAAAAATATACTGTGAAAACTGATTTTTCAACTGTTAATAAAACTAAAACCAGAATGTGTTTTACAGGAAAATACTATTTCAGTCTTTCTACTTCAAAATCCCATGTTTAATTCAATGTGTTGCTTGCCGTTTACTTCTAAATTTACTAGAAAATAGTTTAAAAGTAAATCCAAATTTTATTTTAATGTAAGCTTTATTTTCTATACATTTTACTATATTTATCTGGGAGAGAAATTACCTGGGCATGTTTTTGTAAGATTCACCTTTATTTGACTCATTTGAATGCATTTCACTGGAAGGCTATAAAGACTTACAGTACTGTGCAGACCAAGTCTGGGAAAGACACAGAGAAGCTCTTTCCCCCTGAATATTAGCTGAAACTTTTGTGTGAATCAGGGGAGGTGAGCTCAAAACAAACTTCTGTTCTGTCCACTGTTTGTGTGACTGCAGTATGAAAAGTGGCTCTTTGTGGGGGGTAGATGCCTCTTTTAAAATCAAAGAGAACGCGAGAAAAGGAGGCAAAGAGGGGTCAAAGGGCAAAGTTAGGGACTCCTGAATACCCTCCACCCTCAACGCCCCTACTGAGAGACAACAGCTGCATTTTCTGAGCTCAAAAAGAGAGACACAGTGTCACTGGAGCCATCAGAGAAAAGCTGCCACAAACGAGAAAGTGTCAACAATAACAGTTCACCGATGTAGTGTGAGCAAACTAAACTCAGCTTTTGTTATCTATAATTCTTAAGGTATTTCTGTGTTAAATAACCTGGCGAAGCTAAAGAGATGAAGGCATGTGCCATTCAGTTTGACTGACATGCACATTTGGTGATAAAAGATGGTCTATGCTGTGTGGATGTCTGTAAGCCGGTGCAGTGAAAAGCCAGGTTAAGTTTGAGACAGCAGATAAAATCTCCAAATCAGAATCAGAATCAATACAATTTATTGGCAAATATGCTTATACACAAGAGATTTGCCTTAGTGAAGCTTCTAGTAAAAATTAAATTAAATAAAATTAAATTACAGAATTAATTGACTAGTCTATCAACTCATAAGAAAAATGCAAAAAAAAAATAAAATAAAATAATTTTAGAAAGTATTAAGAATGTCAAATAAGACCCCTCAATGAGTTTAGGGTTATTTGGTCAACTTTTGTTTTAGTGGGAAAGTGATCTACCACCTGAAAACATTTGAGAACCACTGCACTAGCCTTATATACATGAAAAAAACAGTCTCTTCTGCGTTTCTATTTCCAGCTCCTACAATCTTAGAAGTTTGACCGTCTCACGGTTCATAGGAGAAAGTTGAAGAAAACATGAAGGAGGATGTTTGTGGGTGGAAATCTGTTTACATGATCACATGCTCTGCAAGCCTTCAAATTAAGCATTAAAAGAAAAAAAAAGATATTTAATATCCTAAAAGGACAAGAAAACACCATAAACCCCTCATAAACATAATCCATTTGATTAATTTTACAATTCATTCCAAGTCTTCCGTAGCCACAAAAGCTTGTGAGGAATTCAAGCTGTTATACACTACTAATCTTCTCCTCTGCCGCAGCACAAGTCATATCAAAGTGAACGAACATGAGCAAATGCTGATTTAATTTTTTAAGATGAACTCTTTAAGACAAACTAATAAGTGGAAGAAAGATACATTAAAAAGTTGACAAAATAAAAGTCCTAACTGAGCTAAACACTCACGAAGAGCTATAGCCCAGTGGTTCCATGTGACAACAACTTCTAATCTTAATCAAAAATGCCTCAGATATAAACACTTAACCCTGGTGGGTAAATTTAGCAGAGATAAATGTATTCACACTACAGTAATCTCATGCTGTAAGTTACGAAAGTTGAAAAAGTTGGCTGCTTTGACTATGAATGCATGAGGTCTTTCTTGTGGTGTTATGTGGTGGGAATCAGACACCACAAAGCCCACTAATCGTATCCATTGAGCTCACTCACATCCAAATTACTAACAAGCTTAAAAGCGCTGTATTAGAGGGCCGAGGCACCCGAGCTTCAGTTACAAATGAGAGGGCAGGGTGTCTCTCTCCTCCACGGCCTGTCTTTCTCCTGATGGAGTCTCTCATTGACAGAGCTGGCCTGCTGCCCTGAGAGAGCGCCGCTGAGAAAGTCAGCGTGTGTACAAAAGGCAGTAGCAGTGTGTACATCTAAAGCTTTCCTACCGAGTCTTTGGAGACCTGAAGAATGTTTATTGTTCTCCGTGTGCGACTGAAACTCCTCCAAGATTCCGAAACGGTGCCGAACGTTACTCTTCCACTCCATATCTAGGCCTACATGAATCACTGGCCATTCCATTTTTGCCCTTTAGTAGACTCTCTAGTAGATTCCCTTCTAGCTCCACCATGACAGTAGCTGAATGAGAAACATCATTGTAGAGGTTTGTATTAATTCAACTATAGCATTTAAGCATTGTATAGCATTGTAGCATTCTTTACTATAAAGAAATTGTATTGAATGCGCAACTTGTAGTGCACTTCAAATCTGTTCAAATCTGTGCACTTTGTAATAATGTCAAAATAAAAGTTTTAAATCAGTTTTAATCTGTCAGTGTTTTAAAGTACACTTATTTTAATGTGTTAACATACATGTACAGTATTGATTATAATATTCAAAGTGTATTACATTCAAAGTGAATATATTTTAAATGTACTAAAATTCAACACATCATTATAAATGTGCAATTCACGACATACATGGTTTAATAGAAATCACATTAAACTATATTTTAGTTTACTATAAATGCTTGTAAGTACATTTGGCACTACACATTAATCATATTTTAATGACAATTGAAGAAATTATGAAATTACGTATAAAGATGCACTTTAAGTCCTAATAAAAAGTGAGTCATCAAAGCACCCTTAAATAAAACTAATTGCATTTAATATAAATGTAATACATTTTCATTTAATTGCAAATAAATAACAAATAGTTTGCACTTAAGTACAGTATATTATTATGTAATAAGCACTTTATTTTTTTACTTTTTAATTTTAATTTTTACAAGGGATACCCCTTTAAAGTATCAAATCTGTCATCTTTACTTAGAGTATGTTAGCAAAACATCTACTATAATAAAATTAAATATTTGCAATTTGTTGTGATTTGGCTTGCCCACTTAATGGTGTACGACCATTAACATCTTTTAAATTATTTGTTACTGTACATGTAATATGTAACTGAAGCTATATATTGTGAATTTTCTCGTTCTTTGTTTTTTTTCAGTTAGCTTACATTTGTTTACCCTATAACCTATGCAAATGTTCAATTTATACGTATATAATTTTTTTGTTTGATCAGGCATTAAAAATGACTACCACATGTGATCTTTGCCTTAAAAATTGTTGCCTATAGCTCATTATCTTGCTTAGCTAAAACTATAGGCCTGCTTATTATATACTATAATAAAATTAAATATTTGCAATTTGTTGTGATTTGGCACAATTTACAATTTACATGTAATATGTAACTGAAGCTATATATTGTGAATTTTCTCGTTCTTTGTTTTTTTCAGTTAGCTTACATTTGTTTACCCTATAACCTATGCAAATGTTCAATTTATACGTATATAATTTTTTTGTTTGATCAGGCATTAAAAATGACTACCACATGTGATCTTTGCCTTAAAAATTGTTGCCTATAGCTCATTATCTTGCTTAGCTAAAACTATAGGCCTGCTTATTATATAATATATAATGTATAATATATATCCTGCTTTTTAGCAATAAGTAGCACAAAGCCATTTATTATTAAACACAGACTATTCTGCTTAGCTGGCCTTGTCATTTACTAGCGTATACATTGTTTAGCTAGCCTTCAGTATAGTCTGCTCATCACTGTGGGCACTGTGGGCACGTGCTTAGTTGTCTGAGCTGTGAATAAGTGAAGTTTGGCGCACATTCCGCAGCCTGGGGGGTCAATAGAGGGAATGTTTGCTCCGCCCCTCCTCTCCCATCAGAAACAAGTGTTCACATGGAAAGCAAGAGTGGATGAAAGAAACATTTGGTGCATTTAGTGTCCCTCTCAATGGTGACATGACATCAGTCTTCTCCATCAGCAGGAGATGAGGGACAACAAAGGCAGTAGTGGGGGGTGGGGGAGAGAGAGAGAGGGATGGAAAAGAGAGTTTCCTCCATCCAAACCCTCCAGAACTCAACAAAGCTTCCACATAGTCGGCTGTCGTGCTGTTCCTGAAGCTCTGCTTGTGTATTCTGGGGTATTTCCAGCAGTGATATAACAGCTTCCTGTTTGAGGGAGTTTGAGCTCATTGAGACTCAATTATCCTGAATAAATTCACTGCACTGACTGCTCCCAAATGGTACCTGAATAATACTGTTGAATAGGAATAGAGGGATCATATAATGAAAACTGGATTTATTTCATATGCAAAATGGTTAGCAAAGTCAAGCCGAGGCATTTCTCTCAGCAGTTACACGTGACACAGGAATGAGACAAGCTACATAAACTTGGAATGAACTGGGAAGGACGTATGGACGGATGAACAGATAGATAGATAGATAGATAGATAGAATAGTCTAATGGACATAGACAGACAGACAGACATATAGACAGATAGATAGATAGATAGAGACAGACAGACAGACAGACAGACAGATAGATAGATAGATAGATAGATAGATAGATAGACAGATAGATAGATAGACAAATGGACAGACAGACAGACAGACAGACAGACAGATAGATAGATAGATAGATAGATAGATAGATAGACAACTGTCACCTCTCTCCTCTCTTCTGCTGGCAGGGCGGTGCTAAAGTGTGTTTGTGTCTGCGTGTGTGTATGACTCAGAGTCAACGTTACTAACAAAGACGAAACTGTTGTCTCCGCCTCATATACAAACAGTCCAACCGCAGTCACGCAACTCATGTGTGACAATGATTCGCAGACGAGTCCCAAAAGTACCTACAGCACAACGATGAGTCTCTGGTACAGTGATGATGTCAGAAAAGCACTGATGTGGCCAGGATGTACAGAAGCGATTTGATCCCTAAAAGGGAAACATATCTACTGTATTGAGTGAAGTGTGTCAGTCTGCTGAAATATGCAGGCGTGTTACTGCACGATTCCTGCTGATAACAGATAATCACATCAACAACTTCAGGCAATGTGGCATATTTTCAGCCCAACGTATTTCTCCACCTGGTCTGTTTGAACTGCACTGGATGATGTATGTGCAATATTGACTCGCATATTTGTATTGCTAAGTCTAAAGGTCATTGAAACTGCAGTCACGTTTTGCTAATTATCCACAGATTTCCTGCAGATTGCTTCAAAAGCAAACACATATAGCTTTTATAGCTAATAAAACACATACCATGCTGCAATAATCAGTGACCTGCCGACCTGGCGACAAAAAGCTGGTGTGTGTGAACGGTTGGTGTAGCGTGACCGCATAAGAACATGTAAACACACAGTAAGGGCTAATGCTGCTATCAGTGACTCAGGATTCAAATGTAAACACAAGGCCATGCTTGAATCCTGGATCTGTGAAGTTTGCTGATCCGCTGGTTCACTTACACTTAAATAGGTAATAAAATAAGAAGGCAGAGGTAGGAGAGTATTGAATTCACTTCGATTTATATGTAAATGAACTTTTTTTATATTAAATGAACCTCAATTTTGAACAATATTTACTCAAAATTCACTTCAAATGTGACATGTTTGTTCAAGGAAATGGTTACAGTGATTAAGGCAATGTTGATCATTTTTAAATATATAGCCTGATATACTGTATCTGTCTTCATCAAGTCAGTTTAACAATGGGAGCTGATCCTAGATCAGTACACATACAGAACATATTAGAGACCAGGGTACCACATCTGTTCACTTCTGCATTGTCTGACACAGCTTTTATTGTCTCAAACTGGCGTCAGGAGAGATACGCTAGTCCTTCATTAGCACGAAAGGCCAACTTTTACCCAGAGTCTGAACAGCAGGTTTGAAACGTTCAAGGTGGCTCAGTATATAATTAGATGCATCTGTTGAAACATTGGCTCTGTTTAGAAGTGTGTGAATGGCTTGGACCCAAACCATCTCAGAGGTCTTTCACATCGCATGGCCGGTCGTTTCTGGTTAGCACAGAATTATAGGTATTTCATATTGTGGTGGACCTTGATGATTTACTCAAGGTCTCCTCTAAGTGAAAGTTTTTATGGTGTTGTTTCAGGCAATTGGAGCAAGATGGAGAGCAAGTATGAAAACGTACAACTGAGTCAACAAAAACAAGCCGCAAATAATTGCAAAGACAAACAAATATGTGGTAACTATCCAGAGATGGAAGTATTTTGTCTAACAGATAAATGGCATTCATAATAACATATAATGCGCTGATCAGCCTTTCAATCCTAATTCTAAAGATAAACTTCATATCTGCTAGAACTCTAACAACAATAAGGCGGAAATACAAAGCAGTCTGAATGGGAAAACAATATCCAAAATGACCCATAATGATGTATAACATCCTTTACTATTGAAACGGTACAGTAGCTAGAATGAGATCACTGTATAAATAAAAGGACAAACCGAAAGACTTTAAGTGCTGAGCATGAAAACAACTTTCACATTTAAATGACCAACCACAAGATGTCCAACCTACTCAAAGAAATTTGCTTATGCAAATAAACTATTGACTCTTCAGTGGAATAATAATCTGGGAGTAAAAATTTCCATTGCTTCAATGTATCACTTTTCTGGTCTATTATTATTGCTATTAGAACTGTAGGCCTACTGGTATGTTTTATCACCAAAACAACAGCTGGTTTAAAAATAATAATAAAAACTGATATTAAAGGGATAGTTCACCCTACAACCACCAACTGTTTGATTACCAGCGATCTTCAAAATATCTTCTTTTGTGTTCAACAAAAGAAAGCAACTCATTCAGGTTTGGAACGACATGAGGATGAGTACATGATGACAGAATTTTCATTTTTGGGTGAACTAGCCCTTTAAATATATCTGTCGTATATTTATTTTCAGGTATGAATTGTTCGGCAGAAGTTCAGTAGACTTTTCAGGCTGTCAGAGTTTCAGAAGCTTTCCCGGTTTCGATCATGCTTAGGGAGGAATAAATAAACACCGAGTTTCTGCATTTGGTTAGGGATGTAGATGTTGCCTTCACAAACATTTAGCATAGTAACCATAGTTACTAACAAAAATTACTATTGTTTTTACAATAAAACCTTGGCCGTCGATCATATTTATCAACACGTCAATATATAAATAATAAATATACATTTTAAGAATTAAAATTCATTTTAAAATGTCAAACTATGGTTATCATGGCGCATTTATGTAACTAATTAAAAGAACGATGTGTTATATTAAAGGGGTTTAAACCTGAGAAACAAGTTATTGAGTGCCTACCTCTGATCCAGTCCGCAACCTGAGTCGCTGTCCACTTTGTTATCGGCTCCATTCTTCTCTTCAGATATTCAGAAAGTTTCGGCCAAGTTCTCAAACTCACTAAAGTTACATAAAGTTTCCTAAGCTACACTTGAGCGTCCTTTCTCATGTCTAACCACTAAACACCAATGAACAGATCACAGGAACCGCGCTGAAGCTCTACAGACCGAAACTAAACACTCGCGCGCGCGCACAGAGAGAGAGAGAGAGAGAGAGAGAGAGAGAGAGCACGGATCAGGTTACACGCTCACAGGTCAAATGTATACCGCTGCTAAATCGTCTGAATGGGTCAGTGAGGGTCAAACACATGACTCGATACTCCCAGACATCTGAGGTCAAATTAGAAGTCTGTTATTTCTCAAAACACGTTATTTAAGCTGTATAGCCTACATTTACATTTACAGTTCACTGTTATGTTTATATTTTTGAACTAAGCCTCTTATGCTCACCAAGGCTGATTTTTATTTATTTATTTTTTTTAACTAGGCTACTAGTAAAAAAATAAAATAAAAATAAAATACTAGTAACAAGCAACATTTCTCTCTTACTATAGAGTATAATGATCAATTATAAAACAATTCAATAATAAACAATATGATATATAAAAAAAAAAGAGTAAAACAGAAATGAGCCACGGCCACAAATACACACATTGTGCTGATGTCTACATTATTTTTTATTCTTATTTGTTTGTTTGTTTATCACAGCACCTGGCATTTCTCACTTTGGTTATTTCATAATTGCCAGTTCATGTTGTGAGTACTTTTATAGATTCATTACAGGATAAAGTGTTCAATCTGTTTAGGCAGTGCAGGCGTTTTTTAGTTCCAGAACACACTGATAAGAACTAAATACAGGTAAAACATTTTCATTATGTTCATTAATATGTAAATAGAAATAATTGAAACTGGTTTTTAGACCGGTATGGTGAATGTCATTTATTTTCTAACACGCACTGCCCTCTACAGGTCAGTATTTAAAACTGTAGGTCAACTATTACATTTTAAAGGGGTCATATGATGTTGCTAAAAAAGAACATTATTTGGTGTATTTGGTGTAATGAAATGTGTTTATGCGGTTTAAAGTTCAAAAAACACATTATTTTCCACATACTGTACATTATTGTTTCTCCTCTATGCCCCTCCTTTCTGAAACGCGTCGGTAAAAGTGCCTCAATTTCCTTTCCTTTTTATTCTTTCTTTCTTTTTAAAAAATAAAAGCAGACTTTTAATTTATATTATTACATATTATTATTGTGTTATGAAATAACCCATGCATGCTTACAATATTTTGAATTACATAAATTATATAAATATATAATTCAAAATCATTTTAATTTGATTAATTTTAGTTGTAGTTTAAGTGATTTATATAAATGTCTATATAGTTTTTAAGTGTTTAGTTAATTACGGTAGTTATTTTAAATGTTGCCTTGGCAACTAGCTGAAATAAAATATATATTTTTTTATATTTATATTTTATTTCAATTTATTTTATTTAAAGTGTGTTATTGTTGTTTTAATTTGAGTTCTAGTTAATGATAACAACCCGGGCTCATAACATCTACATACATATTTAGTGTAATCACTCACTGAACACTGAAAACTGTCAATGTGCTTTATTAAAATATATACAGTAACATATGCACATCAAATTTGGCTTCTTTTTTTTTTTTATTTAAGAAGTAGAACTATGTAGGAAAACAATGTTCTCAAAAATGTCTTACATAAAACATGTTTTAAAATAATGTCATAAAATAATTGTAGGAGTGTGTGTCCTTCACGGGAGGTGGACTACATCAGTAGAGGATCTTTCTTGGTCATTTCAAGAAGGAAGTAAGACAACATGGTGTAGAAAACTATAAATTCTCTGTGGTGGAAAAACTGGTCTAGTTATTGCACAACACATGCATTGGAGCTGTGCTGTTCGGAGCTCAGCTGAGCCTCACATATGGCGGTCATCCAGGCCTGCTGCTCCTCTGCGCTGCTGGCCTGCAGGATGAAGCTGCGCTTACTGTGCTTCGGTGTGACGGTCCAGCCAAGTGTCCCATCACCCTCCAGCAGCTCCACCTTTGCTCCAACCAGATTAATGGCCTTTTCTGCTGACTAGGAAAAGATTACAGTTCAGAATCCTTGAAAGTGTTCCCATTTCAAAGTGCACCCATGGTGTATGTTTAAAACTAAAGCAGTTTTTGGTAACACTTTATTTTAAGGTGTCCTTGTTGCACATGTTACATGTAATTACTATTATAATAACAATTAATTACGCATAATTACATGCAAGTCCCCCTAAACCAAATCCTAATCCTAACCATGTAGTTAATTAATATTACTCAGTACTTATATGTATAATTACACTGTAAAAAGGACACCTTAAAATAAAGTGTAACCCAATTTTTATATAAGGGACAGTGCGCGTCTTCAGCAGGCGTTGCCATGGTAACATAACAACAAGGCGATTAGCAACTCAATCCGGTAGCATTTAGTTATTAATTATTTACCGTGCAGTTTCAGTTTCTTGATCAGATAATTATCATTCACGGCGTTCGCGCAGGTGTGCTGAAGTTAATGCTGATAAGCTGATCACTGTTACAAGGGCTGCGGGGCTTGTGCGCAAACCGGCATTGTTCGCTCTTACCTTTTCATTAAACCCATAGAAAAGCTGTCCATCTCTGATATGAAACCACATCATTTTCCAGCGCTTGGTGTAGTGCGTTTTCTTAAATAACCATCCTTTTTTCCGCTCGTCGCTTTCTTTTGGATGGTTTTCATCAGTTGTGCCGTTAGAGGTCGCCGATTCTAAAGCCATTACCCTGAGACGCTCTCATTCACGCGCAGGCGCAAAGCAGAATAAAAGTCTTTTATTTTGAGATAATGTTGTTTTGGTAGAATGAGGAATAAAAGTAAAGAAAAATATTTTAATATTAAACGTATAAAGACTTTCAATAAATATGCTACTTTAATGAAATAGTAAAACAATACAACATAATGCTTCACGTGGTTTTTAAATACCATGTGGCTGTACACTTGGTTTAGCATCAGTAATACTTTTAATGTTTTTAAAGAAGTCTCTTATACTCATCAAGGTTGCATTTTTTTTTATAACAATACAGTAAAGCAGTAATATTGTGAAATATTACTACAATTTAAAATAACGGTTTTCAATTTGAATATTATCCATGTTTTTTTCATTTTAATATGATCAATGTTGGAAAGAGTTGTGTTACTTAATTTTTTATTTTTTTGGGAACTTGTGATACTTTTTTAGGATTCTTTGATGAATAAAAAGCTAAAAAGAACAGCATTTATTCAAAATGGGAATCTTTTGTAACAATATAAGTCTTTACTATAACTTTTTTAATCAATTTATTTTATCCTTGCTGAATTATAGCGTTAATTTCTTAAACAAACAAGCAAACAAACAAACAAAAAGATTCGATTTCTCTTTGGTGACACTGAAGACTGTAATGGCTGATAAAAATTCAGCTTTGCTATCACAGGAATAAATCAGACTTTGAAGTATATTAAAAATAGAAAACTACGGAAGAGGATTAGTACGGAAAACCGTTATTTTAATTTGTAATAATAATTAACAATAGTACTGTTTTTACTGCATTTTTGGTCAAATAAATGCAGCCTTGATGAGCTTACGACACTTATATATATATATAAAAGACATCAAATCAGTATCCAGAAGTTACAAAGTTACTGTAAACTTTAGTTTTTAGGTGCCTGACTCACCATCGCTTAGCTGAGAGTGCTCTGTTTTTCTCTCACACACACAAAGAGAGAAAGAATAAGAGTGTGTTAAATACTACGTAGAATTGACATGCTACATGTAAATGATATTCATTAAGATACGCTGATTTGGTGGACTTTATATATATATATATATATATATATATAATGTATATACATCTCCCTGATTCCAAACTTTTGTTAAATATGGAAATATAAATGAATTTAGTCAATTTGACTTCCACACTTGGACGTCATTACTAGATTTTTTTCTCTGCTCAGCATATTTAAATATGCTATATAATGTCTATTAAAATTAACGACTAGAAAGGTTGGGAATGGGAAAACCATGGAATCATGGAAAAGTCCATTAATTTATGTGTTTTTGCTTGTACATGTCCACAAAGTTACATTCCACGCAAATGAATCATTTTGAAGATACACTTTAACCTGGAAACAGAATAAAAGTCTTTTGTGTACGTCAGCGCTTGTTTAGGAAATGGCGGCTGCGGCGATGGCAGGGTCTGTGGCGGACCATCCGCTCCTTACGGAGGCCAAAAAGATGGAATATTTCTCCTCCATCAACTCCATGGCCCGTAAGATTGTGGAGGAGAGGGAAAAGATAAAGGAGAGGTACGGTTCTGCTTGGGATCAGATGAGTCCGGTCGAACAGGACACAGCGATAGACAACGGGATGATGGATCCGCGGATCCGGGCTCGGTACGCGATGCACCGGGTGAAGCGAGAAGAGCTGATCTGCTTCCCGAAACTCCTGCTCCAGACCGGACAGAAGACTGTTCACTTCGGAGAAGAGGTGCTGATGTTTGGGACTGTCATGTGTTAAGTTAGAGCTGTTATTGTTGGTTCAGTGTAGACTTGCTTTGGGTTTGCTCTAGTAATAAAGGGCTTGTCAATCCAAAACAGTTAACGTTACATTATGATATGAACAAATAACAACAAACCTCCTGTCTGCTATTAATGCTTGTTTTTCTTTTACTTTTAGTTACATTTAATTGATTAGATTTTTAAAATTTTTATATAATATTATACCTACTTGTTCATGTGCCAAATAATGTAAGTCAAAATAAAACTGTTCACTAAACAAAAATGTTATTAAACCAGCTGCTAAAAAAAGTGAGAAATATATTCATTAAAATGTTAACTTCAACAATAGTCAAATTTGAGTTAGTTTTTCACTTGTTAGACTTCTATGTCAAATACATAAAGATTAGTTTAAAAGACAAACCTCTCGGTTCTATTTGTTAAACTGTTTACTTAAATCTCTTATCAACTATACTTAATCTCTCAGTGTATGTCAGATATTTCAAATATCTGTACATTAAACAGCTTACTAAACAAGTTAAACTTTACTAAAAAATCATTTTTGAATATCTTCAGTTCACCAAACAAATCTCTTAGAATTCTATATATTAAAATGTTTATGAAAGAAGTCTCTACCAAATATTGATAAATTCAACTATTTACTAAATATCTATGAACCACTTATGAAAGAAATCTGTGCCACATTTGCAAATTATGTATTATATTTTGTATATAGTACTCCTGTATTTCTAACCCTGTTCAATGCAAAAATGGCAAAGCACCGTTCACACTGCCTCGACACACAGCGACAAAGCGACATGCTCCCATTAATTTTCAATGGAGAGCTGGCGACACGAGCGACAGTGACCGTTGGCGACAGATTGTGGGCGTGTCAAGCGATGCGAGTCAAGCGACAAAAAAAGAATTGTTTAACTTTATGCAAATGAACAGCGAATTTCGCGAGCGACAACCAATAGGAGTGAAGAATCTGTCAGTGGCGCTCACACGTCACCGCCTCGAGTGCAAGCAAGACAGGACAGATTTCCTGAGCGATTTCACTGTTTTATATGATTTTACTGTAACCACATACATGGATAAAAAAAATGATGCGTAGAAAAGAAACCGTTGGCTGTCTAAGTAAGTTTGATTCATACATTGATGGTTCGAGTTGTTAATTACATGATGCAGTGAGCAGTTTAGCACCGGTTAATGATTTAATGCACGAGCACTGCTGTAGTTTATATAATAACACTCTCCAACAGCAGAATGGTACTTTTATTTCTTTTAAGTCGAATTCCTAGTCATAATAGAATGATATCTTAGTTTTACCGGCAATGTATAGTTTGTGATTGCATTTTATATGTCCAGATATGTCCAGACGTGCAGTCTACCAATAACATTAGAGCGACAGCAGTAGGAACGCCCACAAGCGTCTTCACAGCACAGAGTCTAGCGACATACAGCGAAAAAGTCGCTGGAAGTGTGAACGGGGCTTAAAGGAGTGATGTCACATCTTATGGCTTATTCACATCTCTGTCTCTTTTATTTCAAGGACTTAACTTGGCAAGATGAGCACTCGGCTCCCTTCTCTTGGGAGACCAAGGTAAGTAGGCCACCTCTGCTAAAAATACATTTTCAATTTGCTAGCAAAGAGCAAACAAATGTGATTCAGCCCGTCCCTTCCTAACAGAGTCAGATGGATTTCAGCATCATCTCCGGTGCTCCAGAACCGGCCGTTCCCTCCTCAGCTAACGAATCCAAACCCAAGCCCTCTCAGAATACCAAGCTGCCCAGCAATGACGAGTCGTCCTTCTGGAAGATCAGCGCCGAACGCTCGCGGCTAGAGGGCGAGAAGGCTGAGTTTCAGTCTCTGACGCCCAGCCAGATCAAGTCTCTGGAGAAAGGAGAGAAGCCTTTGCCATCGTACCTGAGGTCAGAGTCTGGGCCGAGGGAGTCAGAGGATGCGCCTGCCTCGCGGCCGGTTCAGCAGAGAATCACCAAACCTCATGCCCCTCCGCCCCCCGTTCCCATCAGCGTGACCCCTGTGGCGATCAGCGTGACCCCGACACCTCCTGCTCCCGTGTCGTCCTCAGAGGAAGGCTGGGAAAGGGCCCAGAGCACTCTTCCTTCTGTAAGCACTATGGATGATGTGTTCAGTCCTGGTCTGGTCACCAGGTCTTCCTCTCAGTCCAACAGCACAGTCAGAGATGCCGACAAGGCAGAAAGTCCTACCTTCTCACAGGTTGGATGGAATTTCACCTTCATTTCATATAGTTAGATAAAGACAGACAGTTGTGTGTGGGTAAATGCTTTGATGTTCATTATATTATTCATTCAGTACATTAAAATGAAATTCATACATACAGTTAATTGAATGAATAGCATGTTTTAATATTTTGTGTTTTGGTGGCATAAAGTCCATAATCATAAACAGTCTTGATACATTTTTAAAAATAAAGGTTCTGGCATCTGTAGTTCCATGAAGAACATATTAACATTCATAGAACTTTTCATTGCACAAAAATGTTCTTTATTCTGGAAAAAGAAATGATTATTTTAAGAACTGTTGACTAAAGGGTTCTCTGGGGAACCCAAAATGGCATCACTGCCAAAATCCTCTTTTGGAACCATTATTTTTTAAGAGTGTATCAAAATGAAAAATGAGAATGCATCAGAAAATGCTTAAATTAATCGTGTTCTTCAAAAAGAAAAGCTTAAGAAGTTTGGATCTTGTATTATTACTTCTTAGAAAAAATGTAAAATAATTAAACAAAACTGCTTATATGATGTAATAATAAGACAAATCAAAATCATGTGATCCAAAACAGAAAATTGTATCAATGAGATATAATATTAGATAATTTGAGGTTTTTATGAAGACGTTAGGTCAGTTAAAAAAATGTTTTTTAAAACCAAAACCAACATGAATACAAAAAGTATGTGTAAGAATTTGCACGTTTTGAAATATATATTTAAAAGTTATATAAAATAACTTAAATTATAGAAATTTCTAAATTAGATTTTTTTTTTTGTTTTTTTTTTTGTTACAAACATTTTAACCACTGACAACACGTAAATTGTTGTATTTCCTTTTTTCAGTTTAACACAAGCAGTAATATCCTGAAGACTGGATTTGACTTCTTGGACAACTGGTAACGCTTGAATATTCCGAAGAACCCATTCCAGATGACAGGACCTACAAGCACCACAAACCCAACACTACAGAACACTTTCCTTTTAAATCCAAACGCTTTAGTAGTTTATTTCTAGTGCATCAATATCTCTATGACTGTATTAAACCGTATCTCACTGGTTACTGTTACTGAAAGCATGAGCTATGATACAACGGGTAGGATTTTTCTTTAGTTGATTTCACACTTGGTACATTTGCTCGAGTCAGAACCCTTTGGCTCTACTCTCCTGGCCCTGTTGATCTGCTTTCCCACTTTTATTGTTATTCTAATCTGTGGTATGTTGTGCAAAAATTCTTTCACCATCAACATTAGAACCACCAAACGCTGTTTATCCCATGTATCCAGGCAACAAAGTTTGAAATCTTTTAAGTTGCAGAACAATGTTTTGATTTTTGTTTGGTGTTACTACCAAAATGGCACAATATACTTAATTAGTACCAGCCCACTTCTGGATTGCATTCCCATCAACCACAAACCATACTGTGGTTCACATGAAAACAAACCCAAAACCCCGTTTTCGGACTCAAGTGCGTGCTTACAGAAGTTTGGAAGATGCATTAATCAAACAAGCCAGAACTCAGATCCACACTAAAACCACTATAGTGGGAATGCCACATCACCGTCACTGCCATCATTTTGTATCTATATTTATCTAGACCTCAATACTAGTGTTAAGATGCTTCACTGTACATTTATTGATAAGGACCTAAATGAGACACCGTAGCACTAGCATGGTTTTGAGGAGATGTCTTGCGCCTTGCTTGTTTTGTAGACCTTTTATATGCGTGCTACTTTCATTGTATGCGTTGAAGTGAATCATTGACTTTTCTCCTCATTCTCCTAAATGCTTCCTTTCTTTGTCTCTTAGCCCAGTACACCAGAGGTGGCTTAATAACGTAAAGCAATAGTTCAAATCTCCCTTCGTTGTTAGGCCCGAAACATACTCCATGCAAGTACGCAAATGTGGGTGCAACATTAAATGGGTGTTATTGCATTACTGCGGCATTAACGGACTCCAGAACTCAAGGGGGTGATAGAGTTAGCTGAAACTGAATGTTCTATTGTTCAGGTCAGCTGAATAGTTGAATTAACTTGCTGATCACTTGCGTTTGATGGTTATTCAGAATGCTTGATTTTGGATGTGTGAAATCGACACCAGAAGCGTTCACATACTTGTCTGTCGCATGATTCAGGGCTAAACTAACTAGGGTTCAAGGGTAGGAATCATTTTTGGAGCTTTGTTGCGAGATGTTTTTGTTGAATACGAAATGCGTGGCCTGGAGCCAGTATTTATGCATTCATATATCTGTAATGGAAGAGAAGTACAATAAAAGAAGTACACTTAACTCTTGTTGTTTGTCTCATTCTTCTCGTCTGGTAGTAATTGAAAACAGAAAGATGGAGCTCTACTCATAAATCCCATGACAGTTTTCTGCCTTTTGTCGCTTCACTGCCCACAGTGTTATTTTAGTAAAATATAACTGTTGGATGTGCGTTAATGTAATTGGTCACATATGTGGCATTTTCAAAATGCTCCTAATATGCTTTATTTCCTCAGGCAATAATTTTTATTTGGGGGGGGATTGACGTTATTGCACCGGGTTCAAGGGTAGGAATAATTTTTGGAGCTTTGTTGCGAGATGTTTTTGTTGAATACGAAATGCGTGGCCTGGAGCCAGTATTTATGCATTCATATATCTGTAATGGAAGAGAAGTACAATAAAAGAAGTAGACTAACTCTTGTTGTTTGTCTCATTCTTCTCTTGCCTGGTAGTAATTGAAAACAGAAAGATGGAGCTCTACTCATAAATCCCATGACAGTTTTCTGCCTTTTGTCGCTTCACTGCCCACAGTGTTATTTTAGTAAAATATAACCGTTGGATGTGCGTTAATGTAATTGGTCACATATGTGGCATTTTCAAAATGCTCCTAATATGCTTTATTTCCTCAGGCAATAATTTTTATTTGGGGGGGGATTGACGTTATTGCACCACGTTTTAAAAAAGGCCTTGTTAGTTTCTGACTGGAAAGTGGCCCTGTAGTTTTCCAAGAGGTCATTTAACATTGAAAGTTTTTTTTGGGTAACGTCTGATTATATCCATAACACACAGTGTTCCTGTTCCTGACTGGCTGCTATATCTGGATTATTTTAAAGGAGTTCAGTTTATAGGTGGATTAGATCAGTCTAACAATAATAGATATCCATTGTTTTGGAGTTCTTTCTAACTGTTATTTGTCAAAGGTAGACATCTAAGCTGTTTATCTGTTTCTTGTACCGTATAATGTCTAGACAGTCATCTGGGAGAGATTTGCTTAGTTGGACTTTATGTAATGAACTGGATTCTTTTGGGCAAAACTTTCTTAGATCTAACTCCCTTCCAAAGTCTCCTCCAGAGGAAGTGAGCAAGAAAGAGAGAAGTGTCCTGTTCAGAGATCGAGCAATCCGAATTCCTTCCATGTGTGGAGACAGGACTCAGCTGGTAATGAGACGTTCATCATTTTCCTGTCATTCGGCCACTATTGACTTCCAGAGAACAGCATGTTCTCAAGGGACAAAAGCATATAAAAAAAATTCACAGAAAGCTGAGTCTTGGGCAAGAAAATGAATATCTGTTTAAATGTTTATGAAAGAGGGAGAAAGAGCTGTGTCAGTAAAACTGCTATGTTAGCACAAAGAATGGAAGTGGGAGGAATTAAAAAAAGAAATAAATCCTGTGTTTGGGTATAAAACTCTCAGGGTGAAGCAGCTGAAAGAAAGAAAACAGAAGGAGGGAGAGAGAGAGAAAGAAAAAAATCTTTCAGACAAGGTGAAAGAAGGAGGAGGAAAAGTGTCCGACAGCTGCAGAGAGAGGGAGGAGGCTAAAACAAAACGGAGCTGTATAGAGGTGAACGATAGAGCGAGACAGAGTTGAAAGCAATGTGAAAGGAGGAGAGAAGGTTGCTGTTGAGTGAACATCAGGAGTTGTGTATATATACAATAAAACAGGGAGCTGGCTGAAAAGAAGAAAGAGATTTATGAAGTGAAGTGATTTCAAGTGGAGATGACTCTAACAGTGATTCTGGCGGCTGTAGTGGGCTTCGGCGCTCTGTCTTCCTGTTACTCTGGCGAGAACACAACAAGACCGGCCATCACAACAGCTGATCTGTCTCAGGTTAAGATTCTAAATTTACTTCGTGGGAAATGATCCAATTACTGTTTAATATAACTTAATATATAAACTCAATTAATGATTTCCATTGAAACAATTTTGAATTAAGTTTCACTTACAAAATGTGTCTTTGAAAACCTACCATGATGCTAATTGAATGGTATTCTTTTAAGTGCCTTAGAGTATTATGTAAATACCTTGAAATACATCAAAGTACCAGGGTATTACCATATGATGCCATCACTGTACCATGATGCTACCATGAACACTATGGTTTTCTACTTGGAGTTACTGTATTGCTTTGGAATGATGAAACTAGTTCAACATGCATCTGCATTTTTAAAGTGGGAACAAAGTCAAGGGCATTCATTTCTGGTTGCTACAATACATCCTCAAATAGCAATCACATTACTTAAGAAGCATTAAAGGGTTAGTTCACCCAAAAATGGAAATTAGCTTGTGTTTTACTCACCCTCGAGGCATCCTAGGTGTATATGACTTTCTTCTTTCAGACGAATCCAGTCAGAGTTATATTAAAAATTGTCCTGGCTATTCCAAGCTCTATCATTGCAGTCAGCGGGTGTTGCAGTTGAACAGTCCACAAGTCGTCAAATAAAGCGCGCGCATTCATAATAAAACGTGCCTCACACAGCTCCGGGGGGTGAATGAAGGCCTCCTGTAGCAAATCAGTGTGTTTTTGTAAGAAAAATATCCATATTTCAAACGTAATAAAAACACTTTTCTCTCACTTCCGTTTTCTGTCATACGCGGAAGCCGTTCCGGCGGATGACGTAGTACGTCGGCGTTGCGTGATTAGTGACGAATGCGGAGAGAGAACAAAACAAAACGCCGGTCACGAATTAGAAGTACAAACCGAAGGCGCGTGCGCTGTGCATACGTGCTGCGTCATCCGCCGGAACGGCTTCCGCGTATGACAGATACCGGAAGTGAGAGAAAAGTGTTTATTACGTTTGAAATATGGATATTTTTCCTACAAAAATGCATGGATTCGCTACAGAAGGCCTTTATTCAGCCCCAGGAGCCGTGTAAGGCACGTTTTATAATGGATGCGCGCGCTTTATTTGATGACTTGTGGACTGTTCAACTGCAACACCCGCTGACTGCAATGATAAGAGCTTGGAATAGCCAGGACAATTTTTAATATAACTCCAACTGGATTCGTCTGAAAAAAGAAAGTCATATACACCTAGGATGCTTCGAGGGTGAGTAAAACAGTCTAATTTTCATTTTTGGGTGAACTAACCCTTTAAGTACCTGGCCATGAAATCCAGTGTGATTCTGCATGTGCATTCTGTATCGGGCAAAGGCTGGAATACTCTATGCAACTTTTAAAATCTGAACAGATTTCAAACCACCAGGCATCATATATTTGGCTATGTTGTAAATGGTTACAGAGAAAAACTGGGCATCATACACTTTATAACTAAGGGTCACACAAACCCACACAGAAATATGCGCCTAGTTGCTATGAGACTGATGACAAACAAAAACATTATTTGTTCTACAATCGACTAAAATTATTAAATATGTTTGATTCCCTGCCGATGAATGGATTCATAGTCTGAGGCTAGAAAAATCAAAGTCTGTGGTCATCATATATTATGCAATTTTCTGTGAAATCTGTGATTGCTCAAAATCTGCTGACTGGCTCTGAATTTTGCCAACTAGTGTTGACTCTTTCAGAGTGTAAATTGGGGTAAAAATATGGGCAGAGGTTGTGTAGTGAATTCCAGCTTTAAGTCTGGTTTTGATGGTGGTTTTGTTGTCGTTCAATTCTACAGGCGAGAGTGTTCAATGAGGAGATGGTTAGAGGGCGAGGGGACACTCCAGACATCATAGAACCTGAACCCACCACTGCCGTCTCTGAAATGGAGAGCACTTACAACTACATCCGTGCGTTAACCAAACACTCACTTCACTTACACACTTCCGTTTGAAGTGCCAGAAATGCAAGCCAAAACCAATACAACGGAATGTATATTTGCATATATTTCACTTGCAATAACAGCCTGTGTCTTTACTTGCACAAATGAAGGTGTTGTTTGTCCTGACATGACATGAAGGCTTGTTAGTATGGTAATATTTAATACTCTGGGTATAATTTAAGTCTTTTGATGAACTCACTAAGATTCTATCTAAGAAACTGCTATTGAAGGCTCTTCAAGAATCCAGACTGTCTATATCTTCAGCTACCTTGTCAACCCCTTCCCCCTCCACAACACAGTTTCTTGATATTCTATTCATTCACTGGTATGCAGCATAGCTGACTAATGAAAGACTTGATTCACATTTGTCTATTTATACATTTTTGCAGTGTCTAGACTGGCAGCGATGGATCAGGCTATCCACAGGCTTAATGTGGGACATTACACATTGGACATTAAAGTTACACAACTGTTGGAAAGAATGTCACGACTTGAGAATAGACTAGGCGACACTGAGGATGCTATTCAACAAGTCTCGTCCTACTGCAAGGACAATCGCAAAGAGATTGGACGACTAGAGGGTTAGTGTGTTCTCTACTGTCTTTACCTTTTGGCTCATAGTTGCGGGCTATAAAGGGCATTGTAGTCAATAGTGGGAAATCTATTTGTGCTTAAAGAATCCATGTTTTCACTACTGATGAGCTTACCAACTATAAAGTAAGGTGATAACAGTTTATTTCAAGGGCAGTATCTCAAGTTAAACCCACTGTTCACGATGACCCAATCCATAAGGTTATTTGGCACCAAGGCAGGACAAGTGGGATTAACACCCTTTGTTGGACCTGGAACAATGTCAAGTGTAGTCAAATTATAGTCATAAATCCATCCCATCCCTAATCCTAATTCTAGTCTCATGGAGTCAGACCATGGTTTAACAACATAAGGTTTGGGCTCTATAGCCACTGAAATTGCCAACGATTGCTCACTTAGTCAGGAAGAGGTCATCTGAAAAGTGACCAATCACAGTTATGTTTTGTTCAACGTCATGTTTAAGGGCATGTTAAATGTCACATATTTACCTGATTTCCTTCTCAGTAAGGTATTTCAGAGGACACCCTTCTAATTAAATGAAATCACACAGAATCCAGAGGGTCGCTCAAGCTCGGAAAATAGAACTTTCTTTGTATGCCATGGATAAACATGTGAACACATCTCTTTTAAATTTAAAATACCCCAAAGAAAACACTGTGCAGGTAAACATCACTCCCCTTATCTCAAGAGGTGCACTAGCGACTGATGCTAGAGGCTGCAGTCTTTAGCGTCCTTGTTAGCACCCGCCTCCCATGCCAGAAACGCAAGTGAGTGGAATAGAATAAGAGGGGTTACACCCGGAACTTGTTAACACAGCTTTTGTTTCCTGGTGAACTGTTAAACCTTGTGGAAAACTAGGCTCTTGGAAAACCTGTAGAAATGAGCCAGTTTAGGCTTTAGGCTTTTCAGATTAGACTTTTGCCTTCACACAAGTGTTTCCAGTTTAGTGCTATATACAGTGTTTTCGGAAAGTATTCAGACCCCCTTCACTTTTTTCAATTTTGTTATGTTGCAGCCTGATACTACAATCGTTTAAATTCATATTTTTCTCCTTGATCTACACTCAGTGCCCCATAATGACAAAGTGAAAACAGAATTTTAGAAATGTTTGGAAATTAATTAAAAAGAAAAATACTGAAACATCACATTTACCATGTATTCAGACCCTTTGCCACAACACTTGAAATTTAGCTCAGGTGCCTCCCATTTCTCTTGATCGTTGCTGAGATGTTTCTACCTGTGGTAAAATAAATTATTTGTTTTGGAAAGGCACACACCTCTCTATAAAAGGCCTCAGAGCTGACAATGCAAATTAGAGCAAAAACCAAGCCATGAGGTCCAAGGAACTGCCTACAGAGCTCAGAGACAGGATTGTTGAAATGCACAGATCTAGGGAAGGCCACAAAACATTATTCTGCACTGAAGGTTCCCAAGAGCACAGTGGGCTCCATAATTCTCAAATGGAAGAAGTTTGGCACAATCAGGACTCTTCCAAAAGCTGGTCGCCTGGTCAGACTGAGCAATCGGGGGAGAAGGGCCTTAGTAAGAGAAGTGACCAAGAACCCGATGGTCACTCTGACTGACGGAAGTCTAAACACGGGAAAGCCCACTTGGAGTTTGCAAAAAAGCACCTGAAGGACTCTCAGACGGTGAGGAACAAGATTCTCTGGGCTTTCACGTGTTTAGACTTCTGTCTAGCGATTCTGCCTTAAAGCCCAGATTGGTGGAGTGCTGCAGTGATGCGTGTCCTTCTGGAACTTTGTCCTATCTCCACACAGGATTTCTGGAGTCAGAGTGATCATCAGGTTCTTGGTCACTTCTAAACATTATTATGCACTGAAGGTTCCCAAGAGCACAGTGGGCTCCATAATTCTCAAATGGAAGAAGTTTGGCACAATCAGGACTCTTCCAAAAGCTGGTCGCCTGGTCAGACTGAGCAATCAGGGGAGAAGGGCCTTAGTAAGAGAAGTGACCAAGAACCTGATGGTCACTCTGACTAACGGAAGTCTAAACACGTGAAAGCCCACTTGGAGTTTGCAAAAAAGCACCTGAAGGACTCTCAGACGGCGAGGAACAAGATTCTCTGGGCTTTCACATGTTTAGACTTCTGTCTAGCGATTCTGCCTTAAAGCCCAGATCGGTGGAGTGCTGCAGTGATGGGTGTCCTTCTGGAACTTTGTCCTATCTCCACACAGGATTTCTGGAGTCAGAGTGATCATCAGGTTCTTGGTCACTTCTCTTTCTAAGGCCCTTCTGCCCCAAATGTTCAGTCTGGCCAGGCGACCAGCTTTTGGAGGACTATCCAAACCTATCCCTAAACTACCCTAAATTCAGGGCAAAATTGTTGTTTAATAAGAAGTTCGACCTCTTAAACCCTCTTCACCTGCAACTTTCAAAACCAAAATCTGACCTCCATCCCTTCATGTTACACAATTCCTATTCTTTCAACCCCTTCCAGTCTTTCTATCTCTCACCATAACCATAAACTCTAACCCACTCAAGGCCCCAGTATACTTCAATCGAAGAACGAACTGGTTTCAAACAAAATGATGACAAAACGAATTTCATCTGGAGTTAATTTCGGGTGTTCAAAACAGCTTGCCAAAGCAAACTCTCTGTAAGGTTTGCTCTGACTGAAAAACACCTTCGAACAACCACTGTTCTGACTACATAATAGGAAGGTGTGTTCTGGGCTCCACTCTTTGATGTGGAAATCATCTCCGATTTATTTCTTCTGATCAGTCAGTCCAGGACAGACTCAAGTGAAGACATGAACACACTGGAGAGCTTGTGCAAATATATCCACATAGCTATAATTAGATGATTTCTTAATGGCTGTTTTTTTTCACTGCTGTCATTTTCATTTTGTGTTTATTTTTTAGTGGAAAGTGTGCAGCACATATTTACATATTCACCTAAACACCGATCCCAACAGTGTAGGCAGTTTCAGGATGTTAACAGTATACTGCTGCAAAGGTACTTGCAACTTCTTTTTAGACTTCTTTTTAACCCTAAGCAAAGAACAGCAGAGAACTTTGCCGTGAGTATACTGGGGCCTTAACCCTGCGATCGATCCCCCCCAGCCCCTACCATTTTCCTTACCAATCCTGCTCCTGGAGGGTCACTTTCCTGCAGAGTTTAGTTCAAGCACACTTTCCTGTAAGTTTTTATTGATCCTGAAGACCTTGATTGGCTGGTTCAGGTGTGTTTAGTAAGGGCTAGAGCTAAATTCTGCTGGAAGGTGGCTCGCCAGGAACAGGATTGGACACCCCTGACCTAACCCAATCCTAACCCTGCAGCCTTACCTCCAATCCTTCCAGCCCCAAATGTACAATTCTAACTCCAAACTCTAGTTTAAACCTTGACCCTTAATCTCCATTTCGGATTTCTGTCCTTCCAACACCCTCTAACATTAATGCCTAACTCCAATTTCCTACCCTAAACATTAATCCCAACGATATACCTAGTTGTAAAATTTGAACCTTTGCCTAAACTCCAGTCCCTATTCCGATGCTTTCCTAAAAAAATAAAAAACTCCTAATGCCAATCCCTAATTGAGATCTTAATGTTATGGAGGAGAACCACACATGCTGAATATTCTGGTTCTGATCTTTTGATTAGGATCTAAAGAAGCTTAATGCTAAAATTGTACTGTTTAATAGTAATGTTCCAGGACTGGAAAGGTTGTTGGTCCAGGAATGTGTACTACTTGGGCAAATCTTGTTAATATGACAGCAAAGTACTCCACATGACACTCATAATCTTTGAACTTCTGTGTGCTTTACTTTATTAAAATATGATGAAAATGACTTTGTGGTTCCAGGCTGCCAGAAAGGCCGTAAAATTGGTTATAAATGCTTCCTGGCATACCGTGCATATGAGAACTACACAGATGCATCCCAGAAATGTCAGGAGCGGGGAGGACGCATGGCTATGCCACGAGATCGCAAGGAGCAGGAAGCTTTGGCTGAATGCTTTACCACCCTGATCCAGCACAAAATCGCCACCCATCTGAGAAAGACAAAGAGAGAGCGAGAGAGAGAGGGCTTTTAATCCATTTTCAAGAGTCCTAGACTACAGGGAGGTAAATGTTTATTCTATCACTGAGTATTATGCAATGTTTGGAATTTGTTTTTATGGATTTGGCACATTCCACGAATAGCATGAATCTCTTAAAGACATTTTTCTTCTCATTCAACAAAAAAGTTCATTCAAAAAAGTAGTATAACCTTCAGAAAATCCTGATTGTTTACGAAATACTATATTAGCGGTTTTATTTTCTATTGGTTTTACATGGTTTATAATTTCTGCAACCTTTAAATGCATCATCTAAATGCAGCTGTTTTTTTGTTTTTATCTAAATGCAGTTTAAGCCCTGATTTATGTGACTGCATTTTATTGCATAAATAGACAAAATGTAAAGAAACTATATCAGAATTATTTACCTAGCTACTTGTCTAGGCCATGCTGTATAAAGGGTTCAAATGATGTTATTCCTTGGGTGTCACAATTTTAAGGAATGTATTATTTTTTAACAGGGTAAAATAATACAATAACAGGCTGTAGGACACACTTATGTTTTTGTTAATTAAAATTTAATAATTAAAAACAGCTTTTTAAAACAATGAATTGAATATCTATTTGACACAGGTGAAAAAGTAAATAATTCTGAGCCAAAATTAGACAACAAAGTATATCCTATTTGTGGAAAGATACATTAATATGTCTCGATTCTATTGCATAACTAGACCAGCCTGCAAAATACAGTTTTGTTGCATGATTTGAGCTGAAGAAGTGAAATTAATGATACTCTCATTGTTTAACTGGCCCTATATGCAGTCTGACATTCTTCTTTTTACTGCCCTTATGCCATAAAATCTGGGTAATAACAAACTCATGGAAAGAAATGCAACTCATTTCCCAAGTCAGAGTTTTATTCTTTTGTTCTGTGTGTGATATTTGTAATAAATGTTTGAGTGTCACCTGAAAAAGATCATCGATGAACTGAGGTGGCACATCGGGTAACTGTCGGTTCATCACCAGAATTTCAGAGTAGTGGAGCATTAACTTAAACTTCATCACCTTACTGATGGATGAACCCAGACCGATCGCTTGATACACCTGTGACCCATCATAAACAGACCAATCAGCACACATCTACACATATGATCAATGTTAAACTACTGTTAAGATCAACTATACGGAGTCCTGGACATGACATGTGGGCTCAAAAAAAATCATAGCGTAATAATCATAAAGATATCATGGCCACGAATTAAGAATTTGTTCCTATGACGTATTCATTTGTTCCCTCATTTTAGTTAATTGTGGCAATGTTGTACTACTTTCTTCCCTCATTTTAATTGAACTAATTCGTAGATACGAGGGAACAAATTATTAAACTGTGGTAATGAATTAATACAATGTGGCTATGATTTATCAGATTAATAAACTGTGGGAATTAATAAATTATTATTTATTTATTTGCATGTCTCAATTACAACATAATTTAGCAAATTCTACACAAACAAAACAAAACAAAACAAAACAAAACCCAGAAAGTTAATTACATTTATATATTACACTGGGAAAAATAATGTCTAAATTCTACACAAACAACAAAACAAAACAAAACAAAACAAAAAAACACCCAGAAAGTTAATTACATTTATATATTACACTGGGAAAAAGAATGTCTAAATTGCTCAACAAATAAGAGAAGTTTTTTTTAAGCCAATAACATTAATGATCTTATTGGGAAGCCTGTGTCTGCCAATGAATAAAACAATAACAAAAATTGTGACTTTTTATCTAACAATTCTGAGTTTTTTCTCGCAATTGCGAGTTTACATCTCACAATTCAAAACTCGCAATTCTGACTTTTTTCCAGAACTGTGTGATATAAACTCACAATTGCAAGTTATAAAGTCAAAATTGCGAGGTTTAAACTCGCAATTCAATTTTTTTTCTTGACATGTTCAAAGACAAATTGATGTCAATTCTGACATCTTTTCTCAGAATTGTCAGATATAAACTCGCAATTGTGAGTTATAAAGTCCAATTCTGAGGAACTAAAAAGACAAAAAAATGACTATTTTCTTATAATTGTGAGTTTATATCACACAATTCTGACTTTATAACTCGCAATTGCGAGTTCATATCATGCAATTCTGACTTTGTTTGAGTCAGAATTGTGAGATGCAAACTCGCAATTGCAAGAAAAATAGTCAGAATTGTGAGATAAAAGGTCGCAATTGCCTTTTTTATTTTTTATTCAGTGGCAGAAACAAGCTTCCATAACCTTATGATGAAAGGGTTAGTTCACCCAAAAATTAAAATTACTCACCCTCAAGTCATCCTAGGTGTATATGACTTTCTTCTTTCAGACGAATATATTAAAAATAGTCTTTGATCTTTCAAGCTGTTTCATGGCACACAGCGGGTGTTGCATGCATCAGTCCAAAATAAGTTACTTTAAGCAAAGAAGGACTAATTATGTTTTTGCATAGTTAATAGTCCTCACCACTCTCTCTGCATCCAACAGCATGTCAAATTCATAGTCTGTCTGATCAAGCCAGAACGTTGCCCCTTCAAGAGAACCATACGAGACCACCAGCACCCGCAATGACTGAGCTTCCAGAAGCTTCTGTATGAGAAAGAGCCAGAAACCGTGTTGAGGATTCAAAGAACACACATGCTGACTTTGGAACGTTCACTACAAAATAGCAGCACAACATTAAGCCTCGCCAAGTCCACAGCTGGTTCAACAAGCGCTTCGAAAGATATTTTCCAAGCAACCGTCCATAATCAGATATGGCTGAGGTCTGCTGCTGACTGTACTGCAGCTGTGCAGTTTTCATCTCCTTTAAATGACAGGTTGTTCTACCTTGCTGTCCTTCAGCTCAGTCAGGTGGTCTCGTCATGGCTGTCATCCAAAATGCCGGAGCAACACAAGGAGGAGATTCTCTCCCTTCCCCAAGTACTGACCCAGAGACACATTCCTACAAGAGTACAGGACAACCACAATGTATATTACAGTTCACACATGCCATATCAATTCATGAGCTGGAATTTGAACAGAAATAGCCACAATCCACAGGACGCTGAACTGAATTTGAATTAGAATGACATGAAGAGGAATTTACTGCAATTCAAAGAAATTCAACACAGTCACATGAAAAATGTAATTACAAATTCATTCATTAATTATGTGTGTTTAGTCCCTGACATACAATATATATATTTTTTTTCTCAACTGATTAGAAATATTTCTCTAAACTATGTTCAATATTTCTAATAAATAGCATTTAGGAAGTTTAATTCACCATTGTCCATTGACCAGTTAATAAATTTACTAAAATGGTCCATATTTTACATGTTTCCATATACAACTGTTCAAAAGTTTGGGATCAGTAAGATTTGTTTTCAAAAGAAATTAATTCTTCTATTTAGCAAGGATGCATTAAACTGATTAAAAGTGACAGTAAATTCATTTATAATGTTACAAAAGATTTCTATTTAAAAAAAACGATCAAACTTTCTATTCATGAAAGTATCCTGAAAAAAGTATCACAGTTTCCATGAAAATATGAAGCAGCACAACTGTTTTCAACATTGATAATAATAAGAAATGCACAAAAATGCTAGAAATTGATTTCAAACTACTATCCAGAACTGACAAAACGACTGTGAAACCTCTTAATATTTAAAAACATCTTATAGACTTTGAATATACAATATGACCCGATAAGTGAGGCACTGCTGTAATCACAGTCATAATGTAGAGTGATAAACTGTTGCAGCTGCAGGCCTTCAATTTGTTTCAACAGAAGTACCCTGTCAGCAGTTCTGGATTGTGGCTTCCAGTGAATGTGGATAGTAAGGATATTATGTGTTCATCTCACTCTTTAGTCTGAACGTGTATAAACCGTGTATCTGAGCGGAGCGTCTGGACTGCAGGGCACTGGGAAAGAACTGTGTCGCTCATTTGCATCTGAACATCCAGACGTCTCAAAAAACTATCCCACTCCACCTGTCAATCAAACAAACCTCCATTCAGCACACTTAACTACCCACACACCCTTAATATATTACCTACTAACATAAATACATTAAAGGGGTCATATGATGCGATTTCAAGTTTTCCTTTCTCTTTGGAGTGTTACAAGCTGATTGTGCATAGATAAGATCCCTGAAGTTGCAAAGACTAAAGTCTCAAAACCAAAGAGATATTCTTTATCTATCTTAAGACTCTGCCACGCCCCCCTAAAACGGCTCATTCTAACACGCCCCCACATATCTACCCCACTATGTGGAAATATTTGCATAATCCCGCCGCAAATGTGCACGCAAAGATGCATAGAGGACCTACAATAATGTACAGTATTTGAAAAATAATGTGTTTTTTGAACATTAAAGCATGTCAACATATTCTGTTACACCAAATACACAAAATAATGATCTTTAAAAAAGCATCATATGACCCCTTTAAAACAAGTTAGCATTAGAAAAAAAGCAGCCTGTGGAGCCCCTAAGGGGACATGGTGATTGAAAAAAAATATGAGATGGGAGGAAAAATTATATTTTTATTGTTTTGCGTTCCTCTCAAGAAACTTTCCCTGCACTCGCAAAAGCACTGAAATACAGTTTTTCTTCCCAACTCATATTATTTCCATCAATATATATATATATATATATATATATATATAATATATAATCCCCATGTCCTTTTAGGGGCTCTGTAGCAGTCATATTAAACACTGAAAAATTATATTACTTACTTCCAGTTGCAGTAAGCCCTCAACATTGTCTCGAACCTCAATGTTTCTGTTAAATTGGGAATCATAATAATACTATTATCAACATACTATTATGGCATTGGTATTTTAGACAAAAGGGTGGATTTTTTGATAATGATTTTTTATAACCAACTGACTATACATTCTTCTGTTTATTACATTGCTACTTACCAAATAAAGAAATACATTCATTTTATTGATTAATAATTATTGAATTGTGATTGGTACAACGGTCAGTTAAACAGTTTATTATGCTAAATATTTGACTCTTTAATGCCACGACCAACTACATTCATACTCACTGAAAAAACTGTTCCCATAAACTTTCTGCTTCCTTTTGGTTTTTCACACCCAGACTGAAAGAAAACATATTCATATCATGGAATGTTTATTATTTTGTAGCACAACAGAACATTTCAAATATGCACCATTGCAATGTTTAAAGATAAATACACACACCTGTTAAAGAACTTGGCACCTGCTGACATCAGACCGAATAAAGGACGAATTTTCTTATCGACAATTTCTTGCAAAGAACCACCTAAACAACAGTAGCAATGCAAAACACAAACATTTTTCATAGACTCGGACTTTTGAACCCCACTGTGTTTATACACACGGTAAATACATACTACATACATTTGCGCACCAATAAAATCTCATTGTTTAGGATACCTTTGGCGATGTCCTTTTCTACATTTTCCAACGATGTTCTACCAAATCCGATCAGTTCTTTCAGAGCCCCTATGAGTGTGTTTTGGGCCTCTTCAGTAGCCATGCTGAGTTTACAGTGAGTTACTCGTTCTGTACGGATGACCTGTCATTCAACAGATCAGATGAGCTGGCGATCGCGGAACCTAAGCGCTGATTGGTTAAACCTCATCAGCGCTGAAAAAAGTAACAGATACCATGTGTCATCGCCGTGGCGTTTCCAGCAACAGCACGTCTGGACAATTTACGTCTGAATAACGGCACTGAGAACCTTTCATAGCAATTGAACTGAAAATACTCAGCGACCAGTTCAAATAATATAAAAAAAAGATTACTTTGAATCACCGTAACTGACCAGTTAGTTAGTTATAAGTATCTATGGACATTAGAACATGTACCATCTAGTGGCTGACTGAAGTACTGCATACTACAAATAATTTACGACATTTATTCATATATATTTTTATTTTGGTCCACAAAAAGGAGATCAAAAAGGGACTGAATACAACAACACTGCTTTCCTTCATCTAATTTTATTGACTTTCAGCAAACGAAGTCACAGATTTTCCACTTTCAAGTTTTTTTTTGTGCGTTAAAGAACCTTTATTTCCACTCATGGAAAAAAACAAAACAAAGCCACTGTTTGTCTTAAATTTTTCACAGGAAAATAAAGGAAACAAGTCTTTGCTGAAAAGCACCAACCATGACATAAGAAAACAGAAAATCTACTTAAAATGGTCCCTTAAGACGACGCTAAAATAAAATTAAATATTTATAAGATTGAGGAAATATGACTTTTTTTTGCTTTAAGTTACCTATAGATTGAGGCGCAACTGTTTCCAGTGTTCACATGAACATCTCCAGAATCTGATCGTACATTATTCAGACGAGCCATTAAATAGAGCCAGTGTGGACAGTGAACATGGCAATATTACCAACTTCTGTCTTTCAAACAAACAAAAACATCTGCAAACATATTTACCCACTGTGTTCAAGTATTCAGAAAGAAGCTCCGAGCTGAAGAATATTGCTTAATAAACTCTTCAAAGGGCATCTCTGCAACAAGTCACCGATTCAATTCTAAAACCAAAAAAAACGAATGAAAAGCAACTGGTGAATAATAATTTAATAAAGATTTCCAATTATATTCTGTTACATTGTCTGCTGTTTTTTCCCCCCAGCTCAGATTATGCTCGGAATTGCTGAACTTTTAATGTCATAAAGGACAACAGAAAGTTATATTCAATTTAAAATTTAAATAAAGAGTCAACTCTCTTCTCCATGTTTGTGTAAATACAAAAGCTAAAATCAAAGAGAATTTGTACTGATATTTGATATGTAAAAACCATGTAAAAGTGAGGACTGAGCACAGATGCCCCGAGTACAGACGGCCCTTTGTGTTTTGAATAACTGGATGGCATTTCAAGTTCAGGATTTCTTGGGACAGTGCGAAGACGAGTCTGTGTTGAGAACTTCAATCATGGTCCTCGTTAACTGGAACGTCTCTGAAACCAGTGGAAGGTTCTGGTACCAACTCGGCAAACTAGTTACAGAGAGAGAAAACAGAAAGTGTTAGTGGTTTCCCACATTTTTCAGAAGTAGGAAGAATATGAGCATTCATAATAGTGATTGTGCACTCAAAACATTTAAAGTCGTACCTCTTTAAGTTCATCCAACTCTTGACGGTTTTACTGAAGCGATCAGGACTGGCTGTAGTCATGGCCTCAAAGTCAAACAGCTGGGTGACCAACCAAAAAGAGTGTTTCAATAGATACTTATAAAGACCATGCGTCTTGTTACATTATCCAGTTCTTTACCTTTCCAGATGGGATTCGGCCGAGCACCTCTTTCCCACTGGCCATCAGAGCGCCCATGACCACAGAATACGCCACAACACTGAAGGAATAACAGCTATTTTAAACATGCAAGTTTAACAAACACATGTTAAATACAGTTCTGAAATAAAATCTGCCTTCAGTGAAAACCTGTTAATGTTGCTTAATCTGTATGAGGGAGAAACTGACTTAATTTTAACAGGCGTGAAAACAAAATGCAATTAAATATCAATTAATCAGAAAATAAAGATATTTAAAAAAATCAATGTACAAAAGAAAAATCTACAAATGCACAATTATTTAATTCACCTTTTAAAATATAGCTAAAAAATAAATTATTTTTTTTAAAATACATCTTTTAAATGTATTTTTAAAATTACAGGTCAAAAAAATAGTCGATTTTGCAGGTAACTAATGTGGGAAAACCAATAACAATTAATTGGTCAATAGTTTTTTAAATAAATATATATATATTTTTTAACTTGAATGTAACAGTGCTTTTAGATAGTATTTTTAAACATGTATTTTAATCCATTTAAAAATTATGACTTTCAATATCAACAGTTGATAACATGGATTTAACAAATAAACTTTGCTAGCTAAATAAAAGCAATTATCCGTTTTTATGTCATTTTTATTAATTATGTATTAAGTACAGCATAAAGTATAATAATAAAGTATTAATTCAACTTTCTAAAACCCTAGCAACCACCTATTTTACTGATATTTACATACATTTATCTTAAAATATCAAAGGCACAACATTTAAACCATTTAAACTTTCAAGCTTTGTAAAGGCAGCATTACATTTATCATGATTTTTACTTCAACATGAATTACAGAAAAAAAAGTGCAACGTCAAATTTTAAAGGGGTCATATGATGTTGCTAAAAAGAACATTATTTTGTGTATTTGGTGTAATGAAATGTGTTTATGCGGTTTAAGGTTCAAAAAACATTATTTTCCACATACTGTTCATTATTGTTTCTCCTCTATGCCCCTCCTTTCTGAAACGCGTCGATTTTTACAAAGCTCATCGGTCTGAAAAGCGAGGTGTGCTCTGATTGGCCAGCTATCCAATGCATTGTGATTGGCCGAATACCTCAAGCATGTGACGGAAATGTTACGCCCCTTACCATATTGTGATGGCGTGTCCCGGGCCGGAGCGACGAGACAAAAACATTAAAACCCATTATAAACGAGACATTTGTTGCATCCAGTGGGGACATAAATACGGATTATAATGACTTATCAATGTACAAAAGAAAAATCTACAAATGCACAATTATTTAATTCACTTTTTAAAATATAGCTAAAAAATAAATGATTTTTTTTTTAAATACATCTTTTAAATGTATTTTTTAAATTACAGGTCAAAAAAATAGTCGATTTTGCAGGTAACTAATGTGAGAAAACCAATAACAATTAATTGGTCAATAGTTTTTTAAATAAATATATATATATTTTTTAACTTGAATGTAACAGTGCTTTTAGATAGTATTTTTAAACATGTATTTTAATCCATTTAAAAATTATGACTTTCAATATCAACAGTTGATAACATGGATTTAACAAATAAACTTTGCTAAATGAATAAAAGCAATTATCCGTTTTTATGTCATTTTTATTAATTATGTATTAAGTACAGCATAAAGTATAAGAATAAAGTATTAATTCAACTTTCTAAAACCCTAGCAACCACCTATTTTACTGATATTTACATACATTTATCTTAAAATATCAAAGGCACAACATTTAAACCATTTAAACTTTCAAGCTTTGTAAAGGCAGCATTACATTTATCATGATTTTTACTTCAACATGAATTACAGGAAAAAAAAGTGCAACGTAAAATTTTAAAGGGGTCATATGATGTTACTAAAAAGAAAATTATTTTGTGTATTTGGTGTAATGAAATGTGTTTATGCGGTTTAAGGTTCAAAAAACATTATTTTCCACATACTGTTCATTATTGTTTCTCCTCTATGCCCCTCCTTTCTGAAACGCGTCGATTTTTACAAAGCTCATCAGTCTGAAAACAAATCAGCAGGTTGACTTTATATTTATGACATTTATGCATCTGACAGATCCTTTTACCCAAAGCAACTTACAGTACAATTAGGGTTGGGTATCGTTTGAATTTTATCAATTCCGATTCCGCTTATCGATTCTGATTCTTTTCGAATTCCAATGTGATTAAATAATGATATCAAACATCTATCCTGTGTCTCTTTTTTGCAAACCATTTATTGCGATTCAAAAATTTTAGTTTCAATATTTCTTTTGATTTAGAGATGCAACTGCCCTGAGAGGGTTTTAGCATGAAGTAACATTCACATTCACTGTAAAAAAATGACTGCTGTGATAATTTATCACAACTTAAAAGAATAAGTAATAACGTGTTGTTTCAACTTAAAGTAAATGTTCGAGCTTGACTTAAAATTATAGTTTAGTTAACAGTTTATTTTTGTTAAGTTGGATATTTTATGGAAGCCCGTTTCCACTACTGAATAAAATTTTTTAAAAAAGGTAATTGCGACTTTTTATCTTACAATTTTGACATATAACCCGCAATTCTGAGACAAACTCGCAATTGCGAGAGAAAAAATTTGCGAGAAAAAAAGTACGCAAAAACTCGCAATTCTGAGAAATAAAGTCCAAATTGCAAGATATAAACTCACAATTCTGACTTTTTTCTTAGAATTATAAGTTTATATCTCACAATTGTGAGAGAAAAAGTCAGAATTGCAAGACAAAAAGTCGCAATTACCTTGTTTTATTTTTTATTCAGTGGCAGAAATGGGCTTCCATAATATTTAAGTCATCTCGACAAATCTTAAAGCTGCAGTCCGTAAGTTTTGCCTCTTTGTCACTGTTTGAAACCTACAATTGCAGTTATTTGCGGAATGATCTTCTTTACGTGGGTTGTGCATCGGCACGGCTCCACAGCGCGGATTAATCTAATGTTTTGAGGTGTGTGTAGGCTGTCAATCAACGCACCGGTGTGGATATTCACTGTACTTCGGAATTACAGATACTACGTCTTGGAAGTATGTCCAAAATAAGAAGTTTCGTCGAAAAATGTCA